GGATTCCAGGTATAGAGAATGCGTGAGCAAAGTCACTGGGGTGGGAGAATGAGAGACTGCTTGTCAATTTGACTGGAGAATGTGGGAGAAAGCTGGAAAAGTAAATGTTTAGGAAAGCTGGAGCCAAGATGGTGGTGAAAAGATGAGACTCATCTGAACTTGACCCCAAGCCCCTCCAAAATACCTTCAAATACTGCCTCTAAACAAACTTTAGAGCAGCAGAACCCACAAAAGGATGGAGTGAAGCAACTGCCTGGCTCAAGACAGCTTAGAAGCTTGGCAGGAAAGGTGTGTTGCACCAGGGTGAGGATGGCGCACAGACCAGCACTGGCCATGCCAGGGCAGACCCGGGCCCCAGCAAACCAGGAGCAAATCTCGGAAGCCACTGAATCAGTGGCAGCATGGCTAGTATCTGGATCCTTCAGGTCACAATGGTAAAAGGGTAAGACGACCGGTGACAGAATTCTGTTGCATTGCCCATACTTGGATGTGGATTACGGTCCTGAGTCTCAGTCCCAGGGCAAAAAGGAACACTAGCACAGCAGAGCTTTTGGCCCCAAGGGAGCTGGAACCCTGGTCACAATTCCAAAGTGGAAAAGAGTGTGGTCACTCACGCACAATACAAGAGAACAATAAACGCACTTTTCCCCAAATCATGCCAATTTGAAATTACTGAAAACTTACAGGTCCCCAGAATTACCTCTGAAAACACTTGCACCAAAAAAATAACACAACAACAACAAGACTCTGAAGCTTAGGATAGTGGCCCCTCTACTCCAGAAGCAGAGCCCCACTTTAGCATAGAGTTAAAAGTCAAGAAATAGGCTGGAAAAGGAGCAAACAATGACAAAAGATCCTGACGATGGCAAGTGATTATGGTGACAGGGAAGATCAAAACACAAACTCAGAAGAAGCCCAAAAAAGTCAAAACTCAGAGAAAAACACAAACTGGCCCCAGGCCATGGAAGAGTTCAAAAAGGATTTCAAAAATCAAATAAGAGAGGTAGAGGAAAGATTGGGAAGAAAAATCAGAGCGGCGCAAGAAAATCATGAAAAAAGAGTCAACGGCTTGGTAAAGAAGGCACAAAAAAATATTGAATAAAAAGCACACAAAAATCCAATGAAGAGAAGAATGCCTTGAATGGCAAAATTTGCCAAACAGAAAAAGGTGTACAAAAATTCACTGAAGAGAAGAACTCCTCACCAACCTCAATGTTCGCATGTGCTTCCAGGACTGGACTTTCATTGCCTAGTCCCTCCCTTCAGAATTTCTATCATTTCATACATATTTCATATTTATTCACTTGTATACATGCTGGATCCTGTCATCATACTGATAGCTTCCAGCATTTTTTTTAGCCATTTCCTATGTCTGGAATGCTCTCCCTCCCTCCTCATCTCTGCCTCCTGGCTCTGCTGGCTTCTTTCAGGTCCCAACTAAAATCCCATTTCTCCAAGAAGCTTTCCTAACCTCTTAACCCTTGAGTTTTCTCTCTGTTGATTATCTCCCATTTATAGCTTATTTGTATATACGTGTTTGTTGACTTTTTCATTAGACTGTGAGCTCTTTGAGAGCTCTTTTGCCTCTTTTTGTATCCCTAGGGCTTGGCACAGGGCCTGGCACATAGAAGGTGCTTAATAAATGTTTATTGACTAAAGGTAGGGCTTCTGTTTTTGCTATGTAGCCTCAGCTCCAAAATGGTGTCTGACACATTTTTCTGGACTTGATATACAGAAGACAGCTCCTTGCAAGCAACTTTCTTTATCAGTGGAGACTGGTACCCTTTCTGCAACCTAGTCTTCAAGTTGCCTGGCACATCATAGGTGCTTAATACATGTTTGTTAAATTTGTCGTTGAATAATTAAATCAAGTGGGTCAAATGAAAGGAAAAATCTGGCACTAAGATGGCACTAACCTGGGCCAGAAACTCAGTGAAACCAGACAGGAACCACAAGAATGGATCGAGTCCACAAAATATTTGGGAAATGTCAGGAGAAAATGGGTTTGGCTGGAAGGAGGCAGCAAGGTGGTGCAGTGCATAGAGCTCTGGACTTGGCATCAGGAAGACCTGAGTTCAAACTCACCTTAGACATTTACTAGCTGTGTGACCCTGGACAAATAATTTAACCTCTGTTTGCCTCAGTTTCCTTATCTATAAAATAGGGTCAATAATTGCATCCACCTCCCAGGAGTAAGTTTAGAAGCAGACAATGTTTGTGAAGTGCTATATAAAGCTAGTTATTATTAAAGGACTCATAGCTCTATGAGCCTTGTCTGACAGTATCAAAAGTCTCTTTTCTGATTATTCAAACTTCAGGGTTGATGTCCAATGTTTCAAGTAAGATGGAAAAAAAACAAAAACAAGTTAAGATGTTAAAAACATCGGTCAGTGCAACTGATGATTCCTTTATGACTCCAGAGGACTGATAATAAAATTTGTTTGTTAGCCACCTTTTGACAAAGTGGGAATAGACTCAATGGGCAGAATGAGGCCTACATTTCTGGATATGAAGAGAAAAAAAGAACACACAACTATCTTTACATTTAATGCATGGAAAATTCCAACTGATTCCTTCTCTCTCCTTTCATACAATAATATTATTTTCAATTGTACTACTTTATTTAAAGAGTATTGAAGCTTTTCTCCTTAAAAAAAAAAAACACAGAAAATGGACTGGAAACTGAAGGAAAAACCATTTGGATTGGACTAGAATCAGGGGTGGGGAACCTGTGGCCTCAAAACCGTATGTGGCCTTCTAGGTTCTTGGGGGGCCTTCTGACTGAGTCCAAGTGTTACAAAACAAATTATTTTATTAAGGGGATTTGTTTCTGTGAAGTTTAGATTCAGTCAAAGGGCCACACTTAAGGACCTAGAAGGCCACATATGGCCTCCAGGCTACAAAGTTCCCCATCTCTGGACTAGATGATTCCTTTAGGCCCAAGGCTGAGGTATTCAGGATGTAAAAACAGTGTATGTAAGGGCAGGGGTATGATAAGATGGAAGGGATGGGGGTGTCTTTTGGGCAGGACTTAAGAGTCAGCAGAGACCTGAGTTTGAATACTGGCTCTGATTCATGCTAATTGTGTGACCCTGAAAAAGTCTCTTCTCTCTGGATTTCAGCTGGATTTTGACCCTTCAATAGAGCCCTGATGTCATTAATGTAGCCACTCTCTCCACTGGTACAGTTCATATTCCATCCATGCTCTCCTGAAGAAAGTCCCTCCTGAATGTCAGTCAGTACCTTGGAGCAAAGTCTGATTTACTCTTTCCTGGGTATGACTCTAACCAATAAGGGTTTGTATCTAGTCTAGGGATACAAGAAGCAATTCATGGTTGTAGTCTTGGGTAAGTTGTGTCAAAGAATGCGCAGCACCAGATAATATCACAGCAGCAGCACAGTCACCCCTTGACCTGGATTCCTGGGACTGGGGCTGGTCTACAGACTGGGCTAACCCAGTGTTCTGCCATATTCAGGACCATGTCACAAAGCTGAGTGACCTACCCTTCTCTAAGGATAAGGGAAAAATCACAAAACTTTTGAGTGTGGACTCATTCTTAGAACTATGTTCTTTTGTTTCTATGCTACTGAATAAATTACTAGCTCTGTAAGGCCCTTCTATTTCAGTTCCTGGGCGCAAAGTACTGGTTGCCCAGCCCTAGCTCAGTCCTAGTGACAATTACTTTCAATCTAAACTGGTGTGTCTCAGTTAGATGGTAAGATATTGTAAGGAATACTAGATTAAAAAGTATAGACAGATCTGGGAATTGAATCAGAGTTTTACATTGTGAAATCTTCTCCAGGTTGGCCTTATGCCCTGGGCATCTTTGAGAGAGGCAGAGACCTAGGATGAATGGTATATACCAGTCCTGTGTCTGAGGGGAAGAGGCAGGAACTCAGAACACCCTGCTATACCAGAAGCTACAAAGACTGGACTTAAGCCCTCCAGAATCAGGCAGCATACCAATCTTCTGCCCTTCCACATTCTAAAATTGCATGTATAAGAAATGATGAACAGGCTGACTTCAGAAAAACCCAGAAAGACTTGTATGGTCTGATGTTGAGTGAAGTGAGCAGAACCAAGATAACATTGTACACAATAACAACCACGTTGTGCGATGACTAATATTGATAAACTTAACCCTTCTCAGCAATACAAGGATCTAAGACATCTCCAGAGGCCTCATGATGGAAATGCTATCCACATCCAAAGAAAGAACCATGGAAGTTGAATTGCTCTAATATTTTCTTCTCTTCTGTCAAGTTTTGTTTCCTTTTTCTGATGGTTCCTCCTATTGGTTTTAATTTTTACTTACAACTTCACTAATGTGAAAATATGTTTAATAGGAATGTAAATGTATAGCCTATATCAGATTGTGCCATCTCAGGGAGGGTGGTGGGGAGGAGAAGGGAGAAAAATTTTAAACTCAAAAGCATATGGAAGTAATTGTTGACAAATCAAAATAATAAAATTTAAGAAATAAAATAAAATTGCATGTGATTGAATGTATAGGAATAACCTATATCTGATTGCTTACTATCTCTGGGAGGGGGAGGGGAGGAAGGAGGATGGCTAGAATTTGGAACTCAAAACTTAAAAAACTATTAAAAATGATTTTAACATACAATTGGGGGAGAGAAAATGTATTTTTAAAAAATTTTATTTGCATGTGATTTCTTTCTAGTACCTTTCATAATCCATCAGTGGAGACAGGTAGCAAACTGACAAAAATCACAGTTCCAAATATATTAAGGATAAAATGGTTATCATGGAGTTCATTTTAAAAGGTCCTGCCATATTGGAAACTTGTTGACAGCTATTGAAAGTGACTGATGTACTAGGCTAGGTTTCAAGCAAATAATCCACACTGCAATTTAAGTCAGGAATATGGGCATGTTTCTTGTGTAATCAACACAAATTCATCAGATAGTCTATAAAATGCCAATGAAATATGTTAGTATATGAATGGATTTTTAAGATTTAATACTCAACAAACAAATACAATTCAACAAACATTTATTAATCCCTGTTGTATACAAGGCAACATGCTAAGCACCAAGGATACAACGACAAGAACAAAGCATATCTATAAATAAAATTCACAGAAGAACAAATATAAGCCACTAGACTTTTCTTTCTTTTTTGGAGGGGGGGAGGGGTCCAGACCTGTGATCTCATCAGTATGAGGACCTTCCAACATGGAAACTCCCTCCACTGATGGACACTAGCAATTCTTCCGCAATTTACAATCTTAGAGAATCACAGGGGACTCTGAGAGGGGATGTGACTTGCCCAGGATGATACAGCCCACAGGGGGCTGAGGCAAAATTTCCAAGGCTGGCCCTCTATCCACAAGGCCAGGCTGTTTCTTAATAGAGGATCTCTCTCAATATAGGCAAATCCTGCAGGGAGGTGGGTGTCACCCTCCTCCCAATTTTTCTCTCAGCACAGACATCATGGGGATGGGTTCATGGGTTAAGCAGCGATGCTCAGGGTAAGAGCTAATGCTCTTCTCTACACACGCACAAAGAACAAAGACTTATTTTTAAGGACGCGGACCAAAGAAGCAAATGAGGCAAGCCCAGGAGACGGCAGCCGCCTGACGTCTTTCTGCTTCTCTCTCCACGGAAGCTGAGATTTATATTTCATAGTTTCTGAATTTCCGCAGCAGCTCTGAAGGGGTGTCTCCTGACCAGCGAAAACACAGGTGCCAGCAGTTCCCATCTGGAAAGCCTTTAAAAGAGGGGAATCACTTTTAGAAATCAAAGACAGGGAGGCCAAGCTTTCAAGAGCAGAGTCAAAAAACATCTAAGTCAGTTGGGACCTTGGGGGTCATCTGGTCCAAGCTAGGCCTAAACAAGAATCCCTACTACATCTTCCCAAAAGCCTAATGTCCTCCAGTGAGGGGAACTGCTCCCCTGGAGGGGCAGCCTGTTTGGGATAACATTAATTTTCTATTAATAACTGAATTTTTCCTGACATCAAACCTGAACTTGCTTCTCTGAAGCCTCTGTCTGTTGTTCCTACTCCATAAGATCACAGATCTCCACCTGGAAGAGAGCTCAGAGGCTGTCCAATCCGACCTTCTCAGTGGACAGATGTGGAAACTTCCCCAAGGTCATACAGGCAGTAAGTATCAGGGGAGGGATTTGTACGCAGGACCTCTGCCTCCAAAGTATCGTCCGGCCTTCCCATGGTCTTTGAGGCCAAAAAGAAATTGAACCTATCTTCCACATGAAAGCTCTATCTTCTCTTACCCAAGCTAAACATTCCCTGTTCCTCCCATTGATTTTAATGGGACATGACCCTGAGTCCCTCCCTTCCCCATCCAAGCTTATCCAAGCTTATCAGTGTTGTCCCTAAAATGTAGAAGAATACAACAACACGTCACTGCAACAACTGAAATGTTAGACAAGTACAGGTCTTCAGGATGAATTACTGCCTCGGGAAATGGCTATTCATTAAAATAGTCCATAGGCTCATAACTAGAAAACAGGGGTTAGCTAATGGGAGGACCCCAAAAGATTGCAAATACTAGGATCTGGCTAGAGCATGTGAAATCGGGAAATACAACCTAACTCCAGCAGTAAAATGCTAGAGTTTTGGTCTGGAGATGACTGGTCTGGAGGTCTGCATTCAAATCCTACCTCTGACACTCATTAGCTGCATGCTCCTGGAAAACTCGTTTCTCTTCTCTGAGCCTCAGTTTCCTCATCTGTGAAATGGAGATGCTAAACCACCTTGCCCTGCTATGGTGTTATGCAGAGACCATTATACCTTAGAGCATTACAGAAATGTGATGATCAAGGGAAATAGTCATGGAAGTTTTTGCATAACTACACATGTATAACCTGTATCGAGTTGCCTGCCTTTTCAATGAGGGTGGGTGGGGAGGGAGGAAGGGAGAAAATTTGGAACCCAAAGTTTTAAAAACATATGTTTAAAAAAATTGTTTTCACATGCAACTGAGAAATAGGAGATACAGAAATGGGATATAGAAATCTATCCTGCCCTACAGGAAAATAGAATAGGAAGGGGATAAGAGAAGGGAGGGAGAAATAAAAGGGAGGGTAGATTAGAGGAAGGGGTATTCAGAATGCATGCCATCTTGGAGTGGGGGAGGGGCAAGATGGGGAGAAAATTTGAAACTCAAAATCTTGAGAAAGTGAGTGTTGAAAACTAAAAATAAATAATTTTTAAAAAAAAGAAAATATGATGATCAAAACTGTAACTAGGATGAAATGTTGCCCTCCGGGGATTGGGTAGATGGTGGAGGGGTGGACAGAGACCTCAGGATATTGACAACAGGTCACTGTTGGGAAGGTAATACCCCCACATTCAAGAACAGGGAGGGGCAGGGAAGAAGCTCAAAATTCCCACCATCACAAGGTTGTGGAGGCCATAGACTCTAATCCCATCATTTTACAAATGAGATAACCGAGACATAGAGCAGTTGAGTGATTTGTCCAGGGTCACAGAGCTAGTAAATGTCTGAGGCTAGATTTAAACCCAGACCTTCCTGACTTCAATTCTGGTACTCTACACACTGCACAACATTAGAGATATAACATGGTATAGCAACTAAAGTGCTGGAATGAATCAGGAAAACCTTGGTTCGAACGCCGCTTTAGACACTTCCTGTCTGTATGACCAATGGCCGAGTTATTAAGGTATACTGAGCCTCAGTTTCCTCATCTGTACAATGAAGCAGTTGGACTAAGCAATGTCTGTGGTCACTTTAAGCACTGAATCTCTGCACCTCTGATACAGTAGCTTACTACATTAATTACGTTATTAACCCAGTGGGAAGCTCAGTTATTTCTATACTGCAGGAGAACCATCACCGTCATTAATGCCCTCTCAAGGTTGGTACTTATTAAAGTTGGTGCCAGTGGGCATAACCCCAGTCACTACACTGTAGTTAAAGGTCTGAGGAGGAAGAAAAGGATAATCATGAAAGGCAAGTCCAACCTAGACCTAGTCAATTTTATCTTCTAATAAAATGTATGTTCTATCATGGGTTTTCACTGCCAAACACAGCCTCTCCAAATTCAGAAACCTGTCAATTGTCAGGGAACACTGGAAAGAAATTCACCATAGGACCAATTTTTATCCAAACATCACACAGTATCCCTAGCGGGGACCTGGAAGGAAGGGTATTCTCATCAGCCCAGAGGTCAGCATCATAAATCAATTTGGATAGAACTCCCATTAAAATAAATATCTGAATTCATGCTGCAGGACTGAGTTTGTACAAAGCAGGGAGAGAGATGGAAACTGGAAGAGGTAGAAATGTAACTACAAATGCTGATTGATGAAGGGAAGATTAAAAGCCCCTAGTACATCTGTATCCCAAAGAGATCAAAGGAAAAGGACCAATATGTACAACAATATATGTAGCAGCAATTTTTGTGGTGGCAAAGAATTGCAAATTGAGGGGATACTCATCAATTGGAGAATGGCTAAACAATTGTAGCAAATGTTCGTGAGGGAATACTGTTTGCACTGTAAGAAATGACAAAGAGAAAGAGTATGGTTCAGAAAAGCCTGGGAAGACCTATATGAACTGATGGAAAGTGAAGTAAACGAACCAGAACAGTGTATACAGTAACAGCAATATTGTAAAGATGGTCAACTATGACAAATTTAGCTACTCTAATCAATACAGTGATCCAAGACAATTCCAAAGGACTCATGATGAAAAATGCTATCCATCTCTGGAGAGAAAACTGATGAAGTCTAAGTGCATGAATCATAGGGGTTTTTTTCCCTTTATTTTTCTTGCTCATTTTTTTTGGCAACACAGCTAATATGGAAATGTTTTACATGTCTTCACATGTATAATAGATAGCATATTGCTTATATTCTCAATGGGCAGGGAAGGGACTGGAGGAAAAGAGAAAATTTGAAACTCAAAATAAAAAAATAACATTTTTAAAATGTTAAATTAAAAAAATTTAAGTTCCTAGTACAGAGCTTTGCACACTTTTGGTCTGGAAAATCAAATTTGATTGTATTGGTGTGGGGAACTCACAAGATGGAAACTCCCCTCTTGATGAAATTGGCCACTCAGCTTACAGAGCTCCCCAGGCCACTGAGAGGGTAAGTGATTTGCCCAGCATCATACAACCAGGAGGGTCAGAGGAAGGACCTGAATACTTCCTTACTCTATCCACTATGCCAAGCTGTCTCTCATCCTTGTAGACCAAGATATTCATTGCCACACTCTTGGCATTAGCAAATAATAAATGAATGAATGAATGAATGAATGAATGAATAAATAAATAAATAAATAAATAAATAGATAAATAGATGATGGAAACAACATAGGTGTCCATAGGTGAGGGAATACTGAACATCCTGGCATAGGAATATAATGGAATACTACCATACCATAAAAGCTGAGGAATTCAGAGGTACATGCTTGAACAAGTGAAAAATGATAATGCAGACAGGGGGAAAGGCAAGAATATGAGAACAACGTAGACAATGACCAGAACAACATAAATAAAAATACCACCCAAAAAAATTAGAATTTGGATTAGGAACAACAGCCAAACCTGGCTCCTGATTTTTTTAAAGAATTTTTCTCCTCTCAGCAGAGAGGTGGGGGACTACAAGTACAGAGTGCTACATAACCTGTCAGACCTTGTGATAGTTTATTCTGCTTAATTGCTTGTTGTTTGGTTTGGTTTTTTGCAAAGAATTCTGAGCAGATGGTGTTGGGGAACATCTGTGGCATGAAGATTATGCTTTCAAAGGAACAAGTACAAACCTGAGACTACATTGCATGATACACACGCATTTCAGGAGCCATTTTCCATACTTTCCATTTTGACCAAAGAGCTCAAATGAGATTGAGGATATTGGTGTGACAATCTGCCACAGCAGATGTCAAGCACCTGGATCTAGCAGATGATAAAGGGCACTAGAAAGCAATAGACTAGAAGCCATTGGCAAGCTCTGTAAAACCTACTTGAGTGCTTTTTTGTTTCTTTGAATGCTGGGACTGTGAAAACTATTACGTTGCAAGGAAACAAGATTCTCTGTGATTATGCAGAGGGCATGCTGGGATCGAGCTCTGTGCCTCTCACAGCAGAGAGGCTCCATTTGAAAGACAGCAGAAAAACAGGGGTCAACATAAGCTTCCACAGAATTCCATCATTCTCCAGATCTGCTCTATAAAAGAAAGGCACCCTTTATGTTTCCACTCCCACACCCAAGTCCAGGCTCAATTATCACCTCCTATGGAAAACCTTTGGGCATCTAAGTGGGTAGACTGCCAGGCCTGGAGTCAGGAAGATTCATCTTCCTGAATTCAAATGTGGCCTCAGACACTTACTGGCTGTGTGACCCTGGGTAAGTCACTTCACTCTGTTTGCCTCAATTTCCTCACCTTCCAGTATCTTTGCCAAGAAAACCTCTAATGGAGTCACGAAGAGTCAGACATAACTGAAAAATGACTGAACAACAACAAAAAAAAAAAACAAAGACACTCTACCAGTACAGATTGGCATCTCCTCTGAAGGAGAGAGAGGGGCCAAGTCACTGAAAGACTAAATGATTTGTCTAGGTTCACACTAGAGCCAGTATGTATCAGAGATAGCAGAGACGAGGGGGAAAATATTCCAACTCAGTTATCGGGAAGACTTAGGGTGAAGTGTCATTTCTGACTGAGAAACACATCTGGCCCAAAATGCCTCCTTTTTCCCTTGGTTGAACAAAATGTCTATGTGGTCATGTAAATAATATGTCTGTTTCTTTCTTTTCTTTTTTTCACCTGATTTGTGATGTCATTAGTGCAAGGAGCTCCCAATGAGGAATTTGTTCTGCCAACACAGATCAGCCCTTGAAAAGCAAGGGATAGCTTTAGAGAATTGTCTGGGGCTTGGAGAGAGGTCAAATGATTTGCCAGGGTCACACAGGCAATATATGATGAGATTAAAACTAATGTCTTCCTGACTCAGAGGTCACCTTCTCTGCCTACTCCATCACACGACCTCAATTTCTTACAGAGGCTAATTACAAAGGCTCTCTCTCAAAATTCAATATCATTATAGGGCAAACGTTCTTAGGCTCAATTAGGTGACGCTGGGTTTTTTTAAATATTTCAATATATTTGATTTTTTTTTAAATATGATTCTGAAAAGGAGTCTATAGGCTCACCAGACATCCAAAGGGGTCCATGACCCAAAAAAGGCTTAGAACCTCTTCTGTAAGCAGGCAGGGATTGCAGTCTTGATTCCATTGAAACAGAAAAATCTTGGGTGAGGAAACTTCCTCTACCAAGAACCTCTGTACCTTCCTGGAAACTTGGGGTCTTAAAGAGTTGTCTATCAAACTCAAGTAAAAATGGGGTCACTAAATAGTATATAACGATCCCTACAGGCTACAGATTGACTTAGAAAACCATCTATTAACATTATCTATGTTCTATTGTATTTTTACTTATTTTGTTAAATATTTCCCAATTACATTTTAATCTGGTTGCAGAGCCAGCAGACAGAGTCTTTGACACTTCTGGCCTAGAGCATTGACTTGTCCAGGGTCACATTTGACAGGCCAGGATGTGCCAGAAGCAAGATTTTAATCCAGATCTTCCTGGCTTCCAGGCCAGCTCTATATCCACCATTGCCTTTCAATATCACCATAAAGATGAAGAATAGGTGGAAGTATACACCAATGTATGCCAGGCATGTTCTATTTTTTTTCCCCTTCTCTCCTCTGGAAATCCACCATGGCCAGGACTTACTTGAGGAGTCTGGGCTTCGTGGGGACCATGACTTGTCCAAGGTCTCAGGCTCGCCTTGCTCCTTTCTCTCCGTGGTGGAGCTCAGTCCTTTCTCGGTGATTTTTTGTTGGCTTCCTTCCTCATCTGTGACGTTGTTGGTGTCAGCTGGATCAGGTTCTTTCAGCATCTTCTCTTTCTTACTTCTGACAGCCCAGTGCATAGACTAGAAGAATTGAAACAAGGGACAAAGGTATGTTGCAGGTACTAACCGTGTTTGAGGGTTCGCTTAAGGTGCTTCCACTAACTTGATGCATGACCTTGATCCTTACATGTGTTGTTCAGTCATGTTCAACTCTTCATAGCGTTTTCGTGGTAAAGATACTGGAGTGATTTGCCATTTCCTCCTCCAATGGATTAAGGCAATCAGGGTTAAATGACTTACCCAGGGTCACACAGCTAGTAAATACCTGAAGTTAGATATGAACTCAGGTCCTCCTGACTCCAGGGCTGGCACTCTATCCACTGCACCACCTAGCTGCCCCCTCTAGAACAGCAGGTAACAAATCAGCTTAATTCAGCAAACTGATTAACTATTTGGCACCGTTTGGGGCACAGGGTATATAAAAATGAGTAATGAAACTCTCTGCTCTCAATAAGCTTATCATCTATTACTACTACTACTGCTGCTGCTGCTGCTACTAGTAATAATAATAATAATAAACAATAAACATTTACACAGTGCTTTAAGGTTTGCAAAGTGCTTTATATCCTCTCAATAAGTCCAAAAGGTAAGTGCTATTATTATCCCCATTTTACAGATAAAGAAACTGAGATTCAGAGAAAGTAAATTACTCTCTGTTCAGGTAATACCTCCTATATAAAAAGAGTTCTTTCCCTCCTCAAATTTCCCTGGAATCCTTTTACTGGATCTTTCTTTATTTCTTTAGCTCCTATCACTCCATTCTGTGTATTACATATCCCCTATGACCATACTCATTCAAGGCAGAATGAACGGAGTAGTGGACAGAACAACAGATCTGGAGTCAAAAAGATCTAGATTTGAATCCTGCCTCAGCCACTATGACCCTGGACAGGTCATTTGACCTTTCTGGGACTCAATTTGCTCATCTGTGCAATGAGAATATTAAAATACCTAGCACTGATATCACAGGTTTGTTGTGGGGTTTAGGTACGATAATATCTGTGAAGCACTTTGCAAACCTTAAAACTCTATAGAAATGTGAATTATGATGATAAAATAACACTATTGTCTAACTGAAGTTTAACTGGTTACTAAAGAATCATTTCATTCCAAATATCCTTGTGGAACAATCATTGACCAACTTTAATTCCCCAACAGAGCTAAACAATGGCTTTCAGATATAAAGCTGGTTATATGGATTGTAAAGAACCATCTGGAGTCAGTTAGATGGTTCAGTAGATAGAGCTTCAGGCCTCAAGTCAGAAAGACCTGAGTTCAAATCCAGTCTCAGACATTTACTGGCTATGTGACCATGAGCAAGCCGTTTGACCTTGTTTGCCAAGGTTTCCTCATCTGTAAAATGAGCTGGAGAAGGAAATGGCCAGAATCTTTGCCAAGAAAACCCCTGATGGGGTTGTAAAAAGGTGGACACATCTGAACAACAACAACAACTAAACCGTCGCATGCTAATGAAAAGGAATACTGTTCCATTATAAGAAATGACAAATATGAAGAAAACTAGACTTGGGTTCCAAAAAGGATAAAATCAACTGCACAAGTACAAAATGGAGATGTAACTAGCAGAAGTCCTTCCTTAAAAAAGACCTAGGGATTCCAGTGGACTACAGGCTCAATTAATCATCAACGTGATATGGCAGACAAAAAAAAAAGAGTCAATCTTAAGGCTGCATTAACAGTAATGGAGAAGTGTATAATGACTGTAAGCAGACTGTAGCATAGAACCAATGAGGGATATTCTTTCTGAAAAGGAACAGGAATGAAGGACATCATCAAGAAGTTATATGATGGGAAGAAAAGATTGTCTAATCACATGCTAAGAGCAGGAGATGACAGACTGGTAGAGACAGCAGGAGTGCTCCACAGATACCCTTACAATGTCAGTTGAAAGCAAGAGAGGCCTCCAACATATTGAATGCATTTAGCATTTAGCATTTACCATTTAGCAAAATTTAGGGAGTACACAAGACAGTGGGGCAATGGACAAGATGCAATCTGCATCATGGGAGGGAACTACCAAATTGATGAGATCCCAGATCTATTTGAGTTTGAGTAGCAACATGAACTCCAGAGGGGATGGTCCAACTGTAGTCTGTGGGACTCAGGCGAAACTGAGTCTAGAGTGTTCTATCCAGTTCTGGGCATCATGCTTAAAAGATATGTTAATAGACAGGGTTAAGTCCAGAAGAGGGCAATGAAGTGGTGGGATCATGCCATAAAATGTTCCATTGAAAGAATTGGAGATGTTTAGCCTAAAGAAGAGAAGACTTTGGGGACATGACTGTTATTCTCCAATACTGGAAAGGTTGCCTTATACTTGGGTTCAAAAATTCAACTTCAAAAGTATGAGATGGGCTCAGATTCTTAAAATCTAGCCACAAGCTCAGATTCCTTAAGAACCTAGCCAATGGTTCATAAATGCTCAGGTTCCTTAGGAGTCTGACCAATTTGGCAGATCTTTAATAAGCCTTGTCTTTGGCTGAAAGAAGGCTTGGGTCGAATTTGTTCAGGCAAGACCTGCATGTTGTGATTTTGGGGTCCAAGCACCCCTAGCCCTTAAACCTCAACGTTTTGGTGGCCCATACGTGGAAGCTGCCTAACCTCAAGTTCTTTTCCAGCCAAGACTGGAAGGTATATAAGCCCACCCCCTTCTTTCTTGCCCTGCAGTTGGGGTTGCTCCCCAAGCACCTAGGAAGGCTTAGAGGTGCTTTTCAAGCAGACAGTTGTAAGGCTGTCTCACACTCGGCCTGACACTCTCAGGCTCTCAGCCCACTGGTTTGGTTCAAAGCCATGTACGTGGGTATACCTTCCACAGCAAAGAGGACAAGGATGGACTCCCCATCCAGAAGACTATATCCAATTCTGTCAATTCTCTCAGCACTAGGGAATTGGGAAAACTGCGGGTGCTTTTTGGCTCTAAGACTTATTTACTCCCTTCCCTCTATATCCCGAAATCCTCCTTCATGGAGGTCACAGGGAAAAGTCAGAACAGCTGAAAACATCTTAGCAGATTCTAGAAATTTTGTGATCTGTCATTAAGGAATTTTGAAACACCTCCTAACAACCCTAGTCACTCCCTTCTCCCGCTTCCTTCCCTTGAGTCAAGAGGGTATCTGTTAATCCTTCTCATAGGAGAAGAATTTCACTCTCCCCCCCCTCAGAATTCACCCTGTAGAGCATGGGCCCCACTGGCAATGCCCCCCTGGGGCAACCTTTGCCTGAAAGCATCACCCAGGTTCAGCATATCCTACTCAAGGTAAAGAAGCTAGCCTCTGAACTTGAGTAAGCACGCTCTTTTAAAGTTGCAGTTTTAACTGATAATGATGAGATGTTGATTCTTTGTATAAAGTAATTTGGAAATGCATTTAACAAACTGAAGTCACCTGATTGGTAATGGGTTTGTTTCAAGTTTCCAATACGTGAATTTTTTTGTATCAGTTATCAAGCAACTTTTTCATAATTTGGTTACCACTAAAACAATTTGGCTATTGTCAGTTATTGTTTTAATGTGTAAACTTGCCAAAAAGCTTGTCTGTGTTTTGTCTTGCTGAGAATTTGCAAGTATATAGAAATAATCTCTTAACAACTGGCTTCTTACACAGGACAAATTTAAATTTGAGATATAAATCCTGGAAAAGGTTTTCCTAAATTGTGATTAGTGAAACTTGCTGTTTGAGGTAAAAGCTCATGGATTTTATTTTGAGTTGTCTGATGGATCATAATAATCCAATAATCAATAATCCATCATCTGAGAGAAATGCCACAAGCTATTCAGAAAGATACAGGTGGGAAGTCTGCATTGGGAAAAGCTGAGAGGATAATTTTAACCTTAATCTAAGATGGGATCATCCTGGCTCAGTTTCCCCATTGTGTTCCTTTGAAAAGGAATGTACCCACCTGGCTATTCCTGAGACTGGCTATGAGGTATGGTTGGAAAATTGTGAATTATCTGAATCCAAACAGAGCTAAGGATGTTTTATCCTGAAATATTTGGGCCCTAAATCTAGTCCCTGCTTTATCCTTTTATAGCAACTTTCTATAATCAGAGCAAGTGGTCAGTGAAAGATCAATGCAAGTGTGTGAGATCTTGCTGTTTTTACCTGAATGTATAGTTATTCAATACCCTAAACAACTGAAATTAAGTCAGAAACATCTTCAGTTTGGTTTGGAGAGGAGAATTTCAGTGATAATCGCAATGAAAGTCAGTCTCTGGCATTCATTTATATAACTATTGAACCCAGGGATGGGAAAGCCACCAGCAAAAGTGTTAAACTTTAGAAAAAGTAACAAGATCAGATAATCCTGCAGGTCAGATCTAAATGATTTTAATAGGGCACTCACACTTTTACTTCTCCCTATATCGGGCCCTGCAGTCTTTTCTGTCAGGTTTGTGTCTTCCAGACTATAAGCCATTCACCTGCAGTTGATAGCAAACCACCCCCTCCACCCCCCATCGTCCCCTGGATGCAGCCTGCACCCAGTTCTGATGAGAATGGGATCCGGACTCCAAAAAGGAAAAACTCTGGACTTTCCCACATGACCAGATCTCTGGTGGTCCCTGAGGCTGTAATCCCATCAACTAGCCTTTCATTGTGACTAAACCCAATCTCCCAGTTCTTGTTACCCTGGCCCTCCATTGCCTTACCTCCCTATGTCCCCCGGCCATTTCCCACCCTTAAACCTAGCTAGGCTCCATTCTCCCTTGGCCACAGGCACAGTTCCCTGGAGTTCTGTTCACCCCAGTTTACTGGTCATTCCCATCCAGATCCTCCTTAGACCCCTCCTCCAGTCACCCCAAACTACTTGGCCACTCCTAGATCCCTCTCACAGTCTTTCTGTATATAAGGTCCATCTTGTCTCCATTAAGGTGCTCAGATTCTTACAATCTTGCCATTACTCAGGTTTTTACAATCTAGCCAATAGCTCATGATGCTCAAGTTCCTTAAGAGTCTGGCTAATAAGGTAGATTTTTAATAAACCTTGTCTTTGGCTGAAAGAAGGCT